AATTTAAACATTCATATCTATAAATATCAATAAATTTTACGACATATAATTTTAATTAAATTAAAAACATAAATAAACATTATATAACATTTTACATTCATTTATCAAAATTGACAAAAGAATTGTAAATATATAAATAAATTATACAAGACATTAACCGATAAACTTTTCTTTTTATCATATTTTTACTCTTGCTTAATTCTTATTCTAATTCCTAATATATGTAAGTTGAACAATAAAGACAAATAAAGATTAAAACTCATATATTTCTAAAAATGTTTGATATATATAAATCCAATAAAAGAGCATACACGCATTATATGTAATTTTAGCTATAAATGTCTCAAATCCATAGAAATATTTATATTAATATTATATTATATTATATATTATATTATATAATATATTATACTGTATTATAATTATTTTATTGTATAATAATATATATATTATTAATTAAAGGAAAAAAAATAACAACATATAATGATTAAAAAAATTTTTTAATCATTCGTTTTAATTATTTGTTTAATATTATACTATACTATAAAACATTTTCCAAATAAAAATATTTTTCAATCTTAAAAATCTTAGACTTTTTGAAACACATTTCAAAAATAATTATATTTTCACATGTTATAATTTTTTAGAATAAAAATTTTTATTTGCTAGAAATTATTGCATATTTTATTTTTTGTAATTTATTATTTATTTAAAAAAGAAAAAATATTTTAAAAATATATTAATAAATATATATAATAATAATAAAATAAATATATATATATAATAAAATAAAAATATATATATATATAAATAAATAATAAAAGTATTTATAATATTGATAAAAAATAAACATTTCGATCTAATATTGATAAAGATAGTAACAATTTTAATTGTCATATTGATTTATTATTCAAAAATTATATTTCTCGACATTTATAAATGTTAATAAATATTAAATATTTCTACATTTAAAATTTTAATAAAATCTTTACAAAACATGTGAAATATTTTTGCAATACATTAGTCTATCGTAACATATCGATTGAAGAAAGATTGCTGTATTAATATATTTTTGAACCTCTTTGGAGAATTGTTTCTAGAAGCCAAACAAATACAAAAATTGGTACACAAAAATATTGATTAAGACTTATTTAAGTTGCAAGCAATTTATATTTGTGTCAAATAGAAATAAAAAATCCTAAATAGAAATAAAAAATCCTTAATAAAAGTAAAATGAAATGAGTAAAATGAATAACAAATATAGTATATTGAAAATAAAAGTTTAAATTATTTCAAATTATTTTTATTTTTATTTTAAATTATACTTTTACTTAAGTTTAAGATAACTCTGTTCACATAACCTAGATCAAATGAATCTATGATAATCTAATTTCATTTAATTCTATATGTATAAAAATATCTATAGGAAAAATTTCATATAAATGTGAGAAGATAATAATGATGATGCATCATTGATATATATACTAATATTTCTAAAATGATGAAAAATACGAAAAAAAATAAAGGAAATACATTCAAAACATATTAAAGAATTTACTCGTTAACAATTGTTTGGAAGATCAGTAATAATAAATTCATATCTTTTATAGAAGAAAATAGATTTTCTCTTTTTTTATCTCAGAATTTTAGAATTAATTAATAATGTTTAAGACATGTGATGCACACAGCACATAGTTCATTACAAGATTTTCCTTTATTTTCTATAATATTCTTTGTCTTAAAAATTTATTATCTTATTAATTATATACATTATATATAAAAAGTGGCCAACTTAATTAAACTAGGAAATTATTAATTTAATTATTTGTATTAATATTAACGAATTTTTTAAATAATTGTATGAAATATCATAAAAGCTATTTAATAGTTTCATATTTTAAATATTGGAATAGGAGAGATGAAATTAAATTTCATATCTAACATTATTGAATGTTTTAGCCACCACTAAAGAAATTGATGAAATTGAAATATTAAACCTACTAAATTTTTATTTTTCTTAATATTTATCAATCAGAGAATCTCACAATTTTATTAGCAATTTTTTATTGTTTTTGCGAAAAAAAAATATCCGGCGTTTTCCATTTTTTTGAAAATTATAATTATAATATCGGAATTAATATTGCAATATTTATAAATATCTATATATATATATGTATGTAACCAATAATTATGTAATAAATTATATGTAATCAGAATTAATAATTATCATTGACTTATAATGTTATAAATTAGTAATAAATTTTATAAAAATTAATAAATTAATCTTGGTGTAAATTAGTTTCCAAAATCCAAATTTAAATAATAAATATTTATTTGATTTATCTAGAGTCGGTAATATAGTTTCCGTAATGATCTGTAATGTTAAATCTTACAAATCATTTTATTGCGATATCTGTTCTTAATTCAACGTTTATTTTCTTCCATTAATTTAATGAAAACAAACTTAGAAAATACAATTTAAATTAAACTTTAAAAAAAAATTAAATAAACCTGAAAAAATCTTATTTTATACGAAATATGCTATATATAAATTATTTTATTATAAAAAAATGATATGTTACTTTTCTGATTGAAACAAATTTTTTTTTATTTTTATAAATAATGATTCTTATAAATAATGATAAATTCACTATTACACTTACTTCTTTTTTAATTACACTTACACTTACAATTAGAATTGTTAAGAGAAAAATTTGCATATCTGTTACTACTTTTATTTCATTTTCATATAATTTACAACTTTTGTTAATGATAATAAAAATTATAATAATATAAAGTAATGATAATAATAATAATTTGTGAAATGAATTTTTTCTAAAATATCTTGCTAAAATCTAAAATATCTTGCTATTAAAATCATAATTAAAAAATCTCTTGTTATAAGAAAATCTAATATATTAATTTTGATAGGAATTTTGTGATTTTGATAATAATATATTAAATATATTTAAATCTTATTCACATAATTTATATTTCTTTTCTCTCTCTCTCTCTCTCTCTCTCTCTCTCTCTCTCTCTCTCTCTCTCTCTTCTAATCTATGTCTATTATATTTATCTATATTCCCATATATCATTTTTATAAATTTTTATAAATAGTTACTGTTTTTTTATTTTTGTTTATTGAATATTTTGGTTATTTTGGTTATTTTGGTCATTAATATCACAAATTATAATAAATTGTAATATATTTATAGATACTATAATCTATATTTCAATTTCATTATCTTATTCTATTATATTTTATATTTTTACTTAATTTACATTTTTACTTTGTTATTAGAGTATTATAAATAATATCTTCTCTTGTATCTCTCAGTAACTTTATTCCTTTTTGATTATATTCATTCCTATTTATAGATATTTTAACTGCTTTTTACTATCTCTATATTTTTTATTCGAATTTCAATATTTTCATTTTTTTGGTTTTTTTTTTTTGGTTCCTAATATTAGATATCATAATTAATATAACTTTAAAAATCATTTGTAATATAAATAATACATAAATAATATAGATATAAGCATTCTTTTACAAAAAATTTCAAGAGATTAGAGAAGATTATAATTTCTAACAATTTCGAAGTTATCTCATTAATTACATAGCTATATTAAAATTTTAAAAATGACAATGATAAAAAATTATATTAATTTATTCAAATTTTCATATGATATATATAATATATCCAAACGAAGAAATAAAAACTTATAGGGATTTATGAAGTATCGAATATTGCAAATTAAAAAAGATAAAATAATTGAATGAGATAAAATAAAACATGTTGAAAAATGAAATAAAGTGTTACATGATACAAAAATCGCTACAGAAATATATTTTTTACATTCATTAAAATAAATACATTCATAAATTTATATATTAATTTATAATACATTAGTATTTATTAGTAATATATTTGTCTTTATTTATCATTATATTAGTTTATCAAAAAACGCATTCACTCTAATCACATTAATTATAATTTACATTAATTAGTTTCCAATGATTTTATTCTATTCCAAAAGTAATCCAAAAGTATCCAAAAGTAAAGAAAATATAAAAAACATTTTGATGACATTAATAATATTATTTTTAGCCAATTGCTTTCCTTTTCTTTTGTAATCATATTATTTATTACAAAAATTAATTAAATTTTATTTTTGAATTTATATTACAATTTGAAATTTAATATTTTTTGAGATAAATTTTTGCTTTATTGTATATTTAAAGTGTACATTACGTATCACATGAAACTTATAATATTTCAGAATTCTTTTTTTCATATTTTTGTGACAAAATAATTATACGAATGAAAAAATTTTGAATTATTTTATTTTTTTATTTTTGACTTAATATAAATTACTTAATATTATATCATAATTATTGTAGAAATTAATCTTTATATAAAAATATTCTATCAATTCTATCAAAAAATAAATAAATGTACTTACAATATAATCGGGCTAGTATCTCAATCGCTATAAATGAAATTATTCGAATTTATACGATGCATCTATTTCAATGTTCCTCAACTGAAGATAGAAAGCAAGATATACAAAATTTTGAAATAATTTAAGCAAAATCTTTCAATCGAACTTTCTAGGATTGATATAAGTATAAGAAAGAAAAAAAATTGTAAAAGAAAAGATAAATGATATCTAAGCAGTGATATTACCGTTACAATTTAATTTAACTTGGCTGAATAATGACATCTGACATTTACTGGATAATGACATCAAGATAATTGGTATTGATCCAAACATTATGAATTAATATTAGTTGCTTATAGATGCGAATATTAGTGTATCATTCGAAGAAGAAACATTCATCAATTTAGAACACGTTATTTAGTAGTTAAAGATATGAGAAGAGAAAAGAAACAGAAATGTATAAAGATAACACATTATAGAATATGGATATATATTAAATGCTCTTAAAGAAAAAGTTTAAAACTTTTTAAATCGCATATAAAATATTAGAAATTTCAATGATGCTTAAGACTATAATTACCTGTCCTACAGAAGTTTGTTTACGTTTGGTAGGCGTTTGGCCATATTCTTCGTATAGAATTATGCAACGTGTTTTTTGGACAATAATAATGGGTAACTCCACAGTATTTCAACTTTGGTATTGTATTTCTTATTTTAAAACAGCAGATTTACTTGATCTATTAGATGGCATAACTTTGACTCTGTCAAATACGGTTACATTCTTTAAATTGATCATTCTTTGGTTTAATTATCGGTAAGATATATGTATTTATATTTGTCATGACTCTTAATTGCCTTGAAAAAATAATTGATGATGCAAGATATAAAATTTGTTTAAGTTATTAATTTTTATATATTATTTATTTGATTACATTTATTTTTTATTATACAATTTTTTCTTATACAATTTTATTATATTTATTTATATTATTTATCATAACTATTTTTTATCTAGCAATAATATTTATTAAATTAATACTTATTCAATATTTATTAACAAATATTTTTTTTTAATTTGTTTATATTGAAATTTTATTTTCATATTAATGAAATATTTTAATAAATTTTATCAGTTATTAATGATTAAAAATTATTTTATACAGAACAGTTCACAATATACTAACAATTGTGTTTGAGGATTGGAATAATCGTGCTCTTACTGATAAAAAAAACAGCTTATGGTGGATAATACTCGTTTATCTTCTCGCATTTCAAATTTTTTATTTGGCATTTATTCGGCAACTTGTATTTTATATTTAGCAAATATCGTGCTGATTTCCGATGATATCGATAATACTAATAATGAATTGATTTTGAACAACAAAAAATTATTGCTTAAAATGAAGCTTCCTTTCGATTTCACGATTTTTCCACTCTATGAATTCGTTATAGTTGCACAATTTGTATTTGAATGTTTTGTAGCTCTCATAGTTGGGATGTTAATGGCATTTTCTGCGGCATTAGTAAGTTGATTGTTTTTAATTTTTATCACTATATATATTATAACTATTATTTTCCACAATCAAAAAGTTAAACAGAACAAATTGATTATTTTTATTTTGATGAATATGATTGTTTGTATTATTTTTGATGATGTTAAATTCATAAAGTTTAATCTTAAAATGAGGCTAAAATCTTTGCAACTTTGAAACTTATATACAATAAATAAAAAAAAAAAAAGTAGAAAAAAAATATATACAATTTTATTAAAAATATACCCAATATGCTGATTTTTCCATAGAAATTCTGAAATTAAAAATAACAATAAATATTTGGAAATTTTTGAAATGAGAAAAATAACATTTTTCAAAAATTTTCTAAGTAGTTTGAGGAATCTTTTGATTTCTAAGATTTTCTAAATAGTTTAAGGAATCTCTTGATTTCTAAGATTTTTTTTAATTGATAGAAGTTGATTGATGATTAATTGATTGATGGAGGATATCAAATAATTTTTTCATTTGCAATAAAATTTTTTGTTTTGGTTTTATTAAAAAATTATTAATATAATATTAATTAATATAATATTAATTATATTATAATAATATAATATTAATTAATATAATATTAATATAAATAACGAAAAATATTATAGAATGTATAATTTAAACAAACAATCAAAGCAACAAATAATTATGTCGAGCCAAAATATACCCAATTTTACTATCGCAATACTATAATTAATTTATGTGTTATATGCTTGGCTAGTGTTTTTTATTCTTATTAACAAAGTTGAAACGAAAATTTTCACAAAGAAAAAAATTTTTGAAATCATCTTAGAAGTCATATTTTTATTAAAGTTATATTTTGTCAATTGAGTTTTGGAACATTCTATAGAATTGTTATGACCTATAATATAGGTCATAATTAATATTTCCCAATTGATATATCACATATAAACTAATTAAAATATTTAAAATGTATACAAAAATTTTATAAAAATTGTATTAAACATGAAGATATTTAATTCTTATTAATATATTTATTAATATTTTTATTATAATAATTTGTAAATATTATCTATATAATTATAAACATTATTTCAAAAAAGTATATGAACTCAATATAAATAAAATTGTTAATAAAAATTAATAATAAAATATATATCAAATGTAAATTCTAAAAATACTGTAATTAAGATATTAATATTAAGATTATATATGCAAATTTTTTTTAACAAGATATCAATTTCTTATAATTTTATCATCTATTTTACTTTATTTCTTTTACTAGATTTCTGAAAAATCTTTCGATCTTAATTATAATTTTTTATTTGTTCGCAAATAGTAAATACATATTTATGATCTGTCTATTCAGTCTTTTCTTGCATAGAACTTTCTATATTATTATCGAATGGGTTCGAAATGAACAATCTAAAATAATGTTACTAGATGCCAATATCATTTTTCAGTAAAATTTTTTCATTTAACAATTATATATTTTTATGACATTTTAATCTAGCTAAAATGCAACATAACCTTGTTTCACGGTAATTAATATCATCCTACTTTTAATTAGACTTATGATTGACATATGTGAATCAGTTCTAAATAAATATTTTTGTGTACTCATCTCAAATCTAATTCAAGAAACTTTTTGTAAAAACATCATTATTAAGGGATAATCCGCGATATTATTGACTATGCTTTATGACTTTTCTAAATTGTTTATAAAGAGATGCAATACTTGTAAAATTTTGTCAATCATCATTACATTCTGATATAAGTATCTAATAATAACATAGTATAATAACATAGACTATCAATCATGATAATATTGTGAATTACGAAAAATAGCGATCTCGTATAATCAGCTCGAATCTCTATTCCAATACTATTCATTGTTCTTCAATACATCCAATTCAAAGACATACATCTACCTAAGTTTCCAGTTATTTGCTATTGCAAACATGGTCCTTGAGTTGGATATTGGATCTGAAATAATTGTAAATTATAATTAAAAAAATGCATAAAAAATTGCTAATGCGAAATGGATTTATTCGACCTGGGAACAGACTAGCACTCTTTCCGATAATCGATGTACTGAGCAGATCGTTTCCTATGTGCGGCATTCATTGAGATTTCGATCATGAATTACTACCAATGGACGCGTAATTTTTCAATCCATCAACAAAGAAATCGATAGTCGTTCCATGTTCACGAGGACAGATCAAATAATACCTATTCAATTCAGTCTTTCCAATCCAAAGTCGAGTTGTTCTTTGAGATTTTTGATTCGTGTATAAATGTACAGAATACAGAGATTAATTGGCGATTCATCAGCTCATATCCAAGCCAATCTCTATTAAATAATTTCTATCTTGTATGAGAAATTCTTCGTAATTGACTTCCTTCAAGAATGATTAAATTGAAATGTATTACTAATTGATAAATTTACGGTAATTCAAAAATACATACTTATTATGAATACCGCAAATAAGGAATTTCATTGCAATTTCCATAAGAGCTTCAAGAATATGTATTTCGATGTGATTAGTGAAATTCGTGCAATGCGCACAAATGTATTCCGCATCTAATTATTCGCATTTTTAGCAATAACTGTCGACATCGCTTACCTAATCTCTCTTCCGAATGCTCATGACAAAATGGATCTTCAACGATTAGATAGAGAACAATTAGCGTTCAAATTGCAGTACGGCAATAAATGACGAGTTTATCACACAATTCACACAATCGAGGAAGACGAAAGATTCATCGAATTTTCAATGAATCAACTGTGAAATGAACTGTTCGCGAAAACAATATATCATGGAACCGTTCATTTTTGTTGATTATTATGAAGTCTCGATTAGTTATCGACGGCTTTCATGAGCTTAATTTGCGCGAATTAATAGAGACTCAGTCAGATAGTGACTAAATGACTAAATTCCGCAAAACGTTACATAACGATTGTGTTTTCATTGTGCGGAAACATATCATCAATTTATTTGATAACTAAAGAAACATTGTGAAGCGTGATCTTTATTCCCAACATGTCAATAATCAAAGAATGTACTACGATTCGTATAATATCTATAAAATTAACTTCATTTTTTATTGTTGCTACAAATAAACTTTCCAATATCAAGAACGCTACTAACTTTTTCAAATATCAGGATAGGCGATAAATTTAGTTGAATGAATATATTTCGTGAGTTTCAAAAATCAACGCGTAGTCGATTTTTTACGGCTAAATTTGCTGCATTACACAAGATATCATATACAAAAATAATGATGCAAATATTTAAAATAAAGATATAAATATTATCTGATATTAACTACTCTACTCTCATTAAGATTCAAAATCGTACATCCTTTTTTAATACGAATACTGATGAATCATTCATTACAATAGAATGAATACAATAAAATTAGGATAAAGGCCTATGTTTATTTGTTTTTACGATTCCGAAAATAGTTTATTTTGAAATGACCACGTATCTCATTATGATTCTATTATGCAAATTCTACAACTAGGATAATAAACCGTAGGCAGCTCGTTCTATCGCATATGTTCTATAGTTTAATGTGGAAGAGTGTAGATTTTAAACCAACCCTTATTGCGAAAGTCTCGTTGCAGTTATGAAGAATTATCTATTATTCGAATACTTTCTTCAATTCAAACTTACATATTCTCAATCATGAATGAATATTTATAATCCCATAGAATATTTTATTCTAAATGTTTCTCAATAAAATTAATTATCTCCATCTATTCCTATATTGTTGACGTCAAGATGAATCATTTGAATGAGTTTTAGCTGATAGCAGATATAGCATGAAAAGAGATAGCAACACGATTTCTCCAATAACGGAATAAAAGATTATGCATTACTATCGCAAGATTAGATGGATGTCAGAATCGTGATCCTTAAGAAATGACTCTTTCTTTTACTGTTAAAGTTTGACTAGAAATTATAAAGAAAGATTAAAATTATAAAGAAAGATTAAACATGATACGAAAGATATCACCTGAACCAGCTGATGGTCCATTAACTAAGCTATCACAAATCGCCATCTTACCAAAGAGTGCGAAATCATTTTTCAAAATTTAACAAGGAATAGATATAGATTACAATATAGCTTATGATATATGTCAATTGTTTAAGGACTTTAAATCTAGTATATTGCTACTTTACTATTCTACTATTACTATTTATTAAATTAATCACGTGCAACTAGTATCAATTAGTATTGTATAATAAAATTAGCAATTAATTTTAAATTAGCAGTCTTATTATTAATATCATGCGTCTATTATACAGCAAAATTTGTGATTGTGGATTTAAGGCTAATTGTTGTAATTGTCATTTTGTTACACAATTTTGAAATCCTTTAAAATAGATAGTATTCAAATAATAAATATTTACGAGATTTATGATTTATTTATTCCCCATTATTGTTGGACACTATTAAACCTATAAAGATATAGAATAATGTTTTTTTAAATAGAATTTAGATGATTTGCATTATTGCATTTTTTCATTTAATACTTGATGAAAGTTATTGTGCATTGCAAACTGGATATTCATTATGCAACTTATCTGAAAATGTTAAATATTTGTTTCTATACACATCACTGATACAATTTTTATCAAATATTTTAGTGATATGCTTCTTAGGATTTATTCTTGTAAATGTGAGTCAATTTGATATTTTTTGTCATAAAAGAACTATCATCAAATAAATCGCTGATTTTTAAAAACATGATATTTAATGTATTTTTGAAAAATTATTTGATATGTATCAAAATCCATTATAAAGAAGTGCAAATATAATATATATTTAGAAATTAAAAAAATATTTTAAGAAATATTTTCAAAATAATTAAGTTTAAAATAATTTATTATCAAATATGTATTTTCATAACAAATTATAAAAACATCTTTAAAAAAATAATGAATTTTCTTTAATTACATTCTAAAAACATTTGTAAAAAATAATCAATATAAGCGATCAATCAACAT